AATGTCTCTCCCATTATTATTGACATTGATTTTAATGCTATAACTGTCCTCTAAATACTACTCTAGCTGCACCCCTCAAATTCTGGTATGTTTTGTTTTTCATTTCCATTTAGTATTTTAAACTTCCCTTGTGACTTCCTTTTTCACCCATTGGTTGTTTAGAAATTTGTTGTTTAATTTCCAAACATTGGGGATATTCTAGATCTTTGTCTATTGCTGATTTCTAGTTTAATTCTGTTTTGGTTAAAGAATATACTTTGTTACATAATTGAGTTCTTTAAACCTTGTTGACTTGTATTTCCCTGGAGGTCGAGTGGTTAAGAGTCCAATTGCCAATGCATGGGACATGCTTCAATCCTGGGAGGATTCCACATACCTGGGGCAGCTACTGTCCATGCTCAGCAACAAGATAAGCCACCACAGTGAGAAGCCTGAACACTTGGATGAAGAGTAGCCCCCACTTGCTGCAACTAGAGAAAGCCTGCTTGTAGCAGTGAAGACCCAGCACAGCCAAAAATAAAAATAAAAGTTTTATTTTATGGCCAAGGATACGTTATACCTTGAGGATGTTTTTTATGTACTTTAATGACTATTGTACAGTTAGTGGTAGAGTTTTCTGTAAATACTAAATGGGTCAAATTTGTTGGTAGTGTGGTTTAGTTTTTCTGTATCCTTACTGGTTTTCTATATGAGTGTCTTGTCACCTACTGAGAAAAGAATCCTGAATTCTTGAGTTACAGTTGTGGATTTTGCCTGTCTTTTCTTTCAGTTTTATCAACTTTGGGTTCTTATATTTTGAAGTTCTTTTGTGCATAAACATTTAGGATTGTTACGTGTTCTGGTGATTTGATACGTTTATCATTGTCATTTATCACAGTGACATTATGTAATATCACACTTTATCCCTGGTAATTTTTCTTATTCAGTCTACTTTGATATTAATCAGTCCAGCTTTCTTTTGATTAATGTGTGCAAGGAATCTTTTCTTATCCTTCTACTATTTTTTTCCCCACTGTGCTGCATGTCATGCAGGATCTTAGTTTCCCAACCAGGGATTGAACCCATGCTCCTTGCAGTGGAAGCAGCCTTACCCACTGGACTGCCAGGAGAGCCCCTGTCCTTTTTGTTTTGATCTAGCTGTTGTTGGTGAAAATTCAATTAACAAGAAGAAAATTTTATTTGAGCCAACCTGAGGATTATAACCCAAGAGACAGGAGCTCTGAGAACTGTTCTGCCTATTAGATGTTGAAGGCATAGTCATATTTTTTTTTGAACTTTTAATTTTGTGTTGGAGTATAGCGGATTAACAAAGTTGTGATAGTTTCAGGTGAACAGCAAAGGGACTCAGCCATACAAATATATGTATCCATTCTCCCCCAAACTCCCCTCCCATCCAGGCTGCCACATAACACTGAGCAGAGTTCCCTATGCTGTCCGGTGGTCCTTGTTGGTTATCCATTTTAAATACAGCACTGTGTACTTGTCCATCCCAAACTCCCTAACTATCCCTTCCCCTCAGCAACCAAACCAAGTTTGTTCTCTAAGTCTGTTGAGTCTTTTTCTATTTTGTAAGTTTATTTGTATCATTTCTTTTTAGATTCCACATATATAAGGGATATTAGACACTCTTCTGACTACTTCAGTCAGTGTGACAATCTCTTGTCCATTTTTGAGACAGAGGATCATTTACCAAAATGACATACTGACATAAAGTTCACCAAGTATACAGTAGTTCAAGTAAACACATGCAGAGTGAACCTCAAGTCATCAAGACCACTTACAGAGTTGAGAAAGAATGTTACTCTTTTAAGAAGTTACATTGCCCACATCAGAAGAAAACATGTTTATGGCAAGTAGGCATTCCTACCTTTGAGGAGGTCTGGTTAATGTGTAACGCAGATGGGTGTATCATACTAAATAGGGAGGGAGGAGGCTCAAATAAACTTCTTGAGTGAATCACAGTGAACTTTTAAATATATTCCAATGCTTTGTGTGTAAGGTAAGATCCTTAAAACTATACTTCCATCAACAATTTCATCATCTCATCTTTTATAAAAGCTATTAATGTCATATTTTACTTTTACATATCCTATAAGTTCACAAAACTTTTCTGGTCATTTTGCTTTAGACAATCAATTATCTTTTAGATTGATTGAAAGTAAGATAAAATGTCTTTTATAGTTCTCTTCATTTTAACCATTCCCAGAGATCTTTATTTCTTTGTGTAAATCCACATTTCTGTCTGGTATCCCTTCTACCTGAAGAACATCTTTAAAAATTTTTTATTTAAAAAAAAAAAAGAATTTCTTTTTTATTGTGGTATAGGACTGCTGGTAATGCATTCTCTGTTTTTGTTTGATAAGGTTTTTATTTCACTTTTTTTTTTCCTGAGATATATTTGCTGGGTATAGAATACTGGATTGGTAGTTTTTTCTTTTTTAAAAGATGTCACTACATTGCCTTCCAGCTTATATAGTTTCTGATGAGAAACTGATTTTTTATGTTGATTCCTCTGTACAGGCAAACCTCAGAAACAGCATTCAGTTCCAGATCACTACAATAAAGCAAGTCATATGAATCTTTTGTTTTCTCAATTCATATAAATTTGTTTATACTGCAGTCTGTTAAGTCTGCAATAGTGTTATGCCTAAAAACAATGTATATAACTATTTATTTGGCTGTGCTGGGTCTTAATTGCAGCAGGCGAGATCTTTGATCTGAGTTGCAGCACGTGGAATCTTTAGTTGTGGCAGGGCCATCCCTGGTGGCTCATTGGTAAAGAATCTACCTGCCAATGCAAGAGACTTGGTGGGTCGAGAAGATTCCTTGGAGGAGGAAATGGCAACCCACTCTAGTATTCTCACCTGGAATATTCCGTAGATGGAGGAGCCTGGTGGGCTCCAGTCCATGTGGTCATAGAGTCAGATACGACTTCCTGACTGAGCACACACAAGGGATCTTCCGGTTGGAGCCTGTGAACTCTTAGTTGCAGCATGTGGGATATTGTTCCCCAACCAAGGATCGAATCCAAGCCCCCTTCTTTGAGATCATGGAGTTTTAGCCACTGGACAACCAGGGAAGTCCTCTACATACCTTAATTTAAAAATGCCTTATTCAGCATCGAAACATGTATATTATCTAGGGTGAAACAGATCACCAGCCCAGGCTGGATGCATGAGACAAGTGCTCGGGCCTGGTGCACTGGGAAGACCCAGAGGAATCGGGTGGAGAGGGAGGTGGGAGGGGGGATCGGGATGGGGAATACTTGTAAATCCATGGCTGATGCATGTCAATGTATGACAAAAAACCACTACAATATTATAAAGTAATTAACCTCCAACTAATAAAAATACATGAAAAAAAATGCGTTATTACTGGGACTTGCCTGATAGTCCAGTGGCTAAGATTCTGTGCTTCCAACGTAGGGGGCCTGGGTTCAATCCCTGGTCAGGGAACTAGATCAACATGCCACCACTAAGAGTTTGTATGCTGCAATGAGGAGAGCCTATGTCTGAACTAACATTGAAGATCCTGCATGCTGCAGCTAAGACCCAGTGCAGCCAAATGAATAAATAAATATTTTAAAATGTTATTACTACAAAGGGCTAACCACTATTTAACAATGCTGAGTTGCCACAAACTTTTGATTTGTTTTTTAAGAAGAGCAATAAAAAAAAAAAAGATATGTCTTTATGTAGTATGTCAGGGTTTTTTTTCTGGCTGCTTTCAAGAATTTCTCTTTAACTTTGACTTAAATATGATATGTCCAGGTGTATCTTTGTTTTGTTTTTTGATACTTACCCTTTTTGGATAAATTATCCTAGTTTTTGGATCTGAGGTTTGATATTAGCCATTTTTGGAAAATTCTTGGTCATTGTGTCTTCAAATACTACTTTTAAAAATATTTATCTATATATTTGGCTGTGTTGAGTCCTAGGTGCAGCCCGTGGGATTGTCATTGTGCCACATGGGGTCTTTTGTTGCAGCCCTCAGAGGATAGTTTTGGCGTGCGGGCTCAGTCATTGCCGTGAGCATGCTTAATTGCTCTGAGGGGCATGGGATCTTACTTCCTCAACCAGGGATTGAGCCTGCACCCCCTGCATTGGAAGTGCAGAGCCTTAACCACTGGACTGCCAAGTTTTTGGCAATACATTATTTTTGAAAATAATTATGTATTTACCTGTGCTGGGTCTTAGTTGGGGCACATGGGATCTTCAGTTTTCATTGCAGCACATGGGATCTTATTTTTAGTTGTGGCATGCAAACTCTCAGTTGTGCAAGTGGGATCTAGTTCCCTGACCGAGGATTGAATCTGGGCCCCCTGTATTGGGAGTGTGCAGTCTTAGCCACTGGACCTCCAGGGAAGTCCCTCCAATACATTTTTGTTAGACCATTTGATATTGCACTACAGCCCTTGGATTCTTTGTCCTTTTCTTTTTTTAAACTTCCTTTTTGTGTCTCAGTTTGGATAATTTCTTTGGACCTATCTTCAGATTTACTGAACATTTTCTCAGCTCTGTTGTAGCATTGCATATTGAAGATGGTCTTTCAACTCTGTTACTGCATTTTTTTTTAGCATTTCCATTTTTTTCTTGATGGTTCCGTCTCTTGAAGTTCCCTATTTGTTAATTTATTTTGTAAATCTTTTCCATGAAGCTTAATATATGAATCATAATTTTAAACCCCCTGTTTGATAATTTAACCAGTTATGTTTTCTGTTGTTTTGTCAGGTAATATTTGTCTTAGTCTTACCTTTTCAGATGTCTCATAATGTTTGATTGAATGTGGGTTCTGCCAGCATGATTTTTTTTTGCCCTTTCTGAACAGGCGAAAGGACTAGCCCACGAGGTGGAATTTTCTCAGGTGATGTGTAAGGATTTATAAACAAGTCATCCTGGAAGTTCTGAGGCAAGTCAGACCTTTAATAACAATACCTTCTGTTTTCCGCTATTCCAGTTCCGCCTTCATAGTTCTCTGCCTTTATCCAGAAGCTGCAGAAAATGAACAAATCCCAGGTGAGTTGTTTATTCCTAATATTTCTGTGCATTTGAGGAAATATATAAGGACCTAGAAAATGAAATGAAAGGTATGAGTAAAATTCAGAAAAACATAGTAAGAATAATCAATACCAGCAGACAAAAAGTAAAATCAAGTTAATCAGGTATTAGAAAAAAGTTAAGTAAATTAAGTTAGTTAATTAAGCAATTCTTGCATTGATTATGAATACCACTTCCTTGGCTCTCAAGTATTAGGTCTAAATTAGTTTTATGAGCGTTCATATAGGTGGTGTTTTGAGCAACATTCCCAGGAAGAAAAACAGATTATTATTTTGTCTCTGGTTATTTCATATAGCATTCTTCAGGGTAATACAGTGTGTATTTTATTTTTCCAGTGAGATTAACATGATGCCAGAAAACTCACTAAAGATCTGGATATGTATTTAAATTCTCCCCCAACTTACATGAGTTCCATTGTCATTACTTTCTTGAGTAGCATTCCAGAATGTACTTCTACATATTTACACAAGTACAGCTTATTATGAGATGGCATACTAATTATACTGTTCTGTTTATATGTGTTTTGTTTTGCTTTTAATGAATAGACTTCATTTTTTTAGAATAGACTTCATTTTTTTAGAATAGACTTCATTTTTTTAGAATAGTTTTGAGCTTACCAAAAATTTGAGTGAAAAGTACAGAATTCCTTTTCTCCCTCTGCACACATGGTTTCCTCTGTTATTAACATCTTGCATTAATGTGGCATAGCTGTTAAAATTGATGAGCCAGTACTGATACTCCACCTAAAGTTCATAGTTTACATTAGGATTTGCTTTTGGTGTTGTGCATTCTGTATGTTTTGACAAATGTGTAATGACATGTATCCACCATTATTGTATCTTAGAGAATAGCTTCACTATTCACAAAATCCCCTGTGCTTCATCTATTCATCCCTCCCTCCCTTTCCTTGAGCACCTGGCAGAATTGGAGGGGCAGTAAAATATATATATATATATATATATATATATATATCTCAGTGGTTTCTTTTTCCAGAATGTTACACAGTTGGAATCAGTCAGTATGTAGCCTTTTCAGACTTTCATTAATAATCTGCATTTAAAGTTCTTCCATGTCTTTTCATGACTTGACAGCTTATTTCTTTTTAGCACCCAATAATATCTCATGGTCTAAATGTACCACTATTTATTTACCCGTTGAGCAACTGAAGGACATCTTGGTTGCCTCCAGGTTTTGATGGTTATGAATTAAGCAGCTATAAACATGTCTGTGTAGTGTCTTTATGAATGTAAGTTAATCACTTGGGTAAATGCTAAGGAAGACTAATGCGGGGTGGTACAGCTAGATTGTGCAGCAAGAGTAGCTTGTGAGAAACTGCCCAGCTGTCTTTCCGAGTGGCTATAGTGTCTGCACTCCCACCAGCAGTGAGTGAGAGTCCTTTTGCTCCACGTCCTTGCCAGCGTTTGCTGTTGTCGGTGTTGTGAACTTTGGCCACTTTAATAGGTGTTTTGCAGTATAATTTGATACTTCTCTGACATCTTAAGTGTCTTTACACACGTTTACTTTACCATCCGTATATCTTTAGTGAAGTGTCTCTTAAGGTCTTTGGCCCTTTAAAAAAATTAGTTTTTAACTGAAGTATAGTTGATGTACAGTGTTGTGTTACTTTCTGCTGTACAGTGAAGTAATTCAGTTATACATACATATGCATTCTTTTTAAAAAATATTCCTTCTTATTATACTTTATCATAGGATATTGAATATAGTTCCTTGTGTTATATCTTGGGACTTCGTTGTTTATCTGTATGTAATAGCTTATATCTGCAGACCCTAACCTCTCACTCCATCTCTCCTGCAACCCCCGCCGCTTGGCAACCACAGGTATGTTCTCTGTGGGCATGATTCTGTTTCTGTTTCACAGATAGGTTAGTTTGTTTTATTTTTTAGATTCCGTATATAAGTAATTTTATATGGTATTTGTCATTCTCTTTCTGACTTACTTCATTTAGTATGCTATTATGTGTGGCCCACTAGTGGATTCCATTATACTTAAGTATCTAATCTCTTTTGGATTCTCTTCCCCTGTAGCTTATGAGAGTGTGTTGAGCACACTTCTTTGTTCTATCCAATGCTTGTTCGTTTTTCTTTGATGTATCTGTGGGTGTCTCTGTGACGTTCTGTCTGTGTATAAGTGTGTATGGTTTCATCCCAATCTCCTTGGTTATCTCATCAATCACTGTATATTTGCCTTTTTTAAGCCTAAGCCTTTGTCTAAATCTGGGAATCTCTTTGCATTTCCTAAGTTAATTCATTGTATTTATTTTTAGATTGAGGTTTAGGGAATCCCCTGTGCTGTTTGTCTTTTCAGATTGCATTTGTAAGGCATTCCCTGAGCCAGTTGTCTCTGTCTCAGTTACTTGATATAGTGTGATCATCTCCAGTATCTGCCATGTTGCTGCAAATAACACGATTTCATTCTTTTCTAAGGCTGCGTAATTATTCATGGCATATATGTAGCACAACTTCAATATATAAACCTGGGCACATAGGTGTTGTGGTTGCTTCCATATCTTGGCTATTGTAAATAATGGGTTCCTGAACATTGGGGTGCCTTATTTCATAGTATAGTTTTCCATGCATATAGGCTTGGACAATCTTGCTGTAGGCCTGGGTTTCATTTTAAAGGAACCCACATGAGGTTCTGCATCTTGTCTCAACAATTTCCATTCCCAGAGGCAGCGGAGGAGGGTTCCCTTGTGGCTCAGCTGGTAAAGAATCCTCCTGCAATGCGGGTGACCTGGGTTCGATTCCTGGTTTGGGAAGATCCCCTGGAGAAGGGAAAGGCTACCCACTCCACTATTCTGGCCTGGAGAATTCCAGGGACTGTGTAGTCTATGGGGTCGCAAAGAGTCAGACACGACTTTCACTTTCAGTATTTATCCCTGTGTTGGGGTATTATGGCTGCTTTGGGGCCTTGGCGCCGGGAGAGTGCCTTCCTGAAATGTGGGGTGCCTGTGTTGTTTTGAAGGATGCATTTCCCTGAATATAGGGCCTGCTGAGGGTTCGCAGGATCTCCTGGTAGGTGCTCGTTTTGTTCTAAAGGAACCTGCATAAGGTTCTCCATCATGGCTGGTCGCAATTTCCATTTCCAGGAGCAGCAGAGGAGGGTTCCCTTCTCTCCCTGTGGGTCTCCAGTGTTTATTGTTCTGATTTGCTGGTGAGGGCTGCCTGATGATAGTTGGTTGTAGGTTTGCTTGGCATTTCTCTCAGAGGCGGAGTTTCTTTACAGGTGCGGATAGTTGGTTTTCACTAAGTGTGAGGAAAATTTACCTTTTGCGGTCGGGTTTTGAAAGTCGGGCCTGTTTTGAATTCTGTCTCTCTGAACTACCCTAGGTTATTTGTCGAGGGTGGGGTCATTTAGCTTAATCAGGCAGGCCTCTGACTGGGAAGAGCCTGTTCAGTTCAGTCACTCAGTCGTGTCAATTCAGTTCGGTTCAGTCGTGTCCGACTCCGTGCAACCCCTTGAACTGTAGCACGCCAGGCCTCCCTGTCCATCACCAACTCCCAGAGCTTATCCAAAGCCATGTCCACTGAGTCAGTGATGCCATCCAACCGTCTCATCCTCTGTCATCTCCTTCTCCCACCCTCAATTTTTCCCAGCATCAGGGTCTTTTCCAGGGAGTCAGCTCTTCACATGAGGTGGCCAAATTATTGGAGTTTCAGCTTCAGCATTAGTCCTTCCAATGAACACCCAGGACTGATCTCCTTTAGGATGGACTGGTTGGATCTCCTTGCAGTTCAGGGACTCTCAAGAGGCTTCTCCAACACCACAGTTCAGAGCCCCTGGTTTGACGATGTTGTTCCAGGAAACGGCCACAAGGCAGAAGCACTTTTGCCAGCTCTGGTCAGTCAAGTGGGCACCCAGAACCTGAGCTGTAGAGTAGCGTGCAGACTGCCCGAGTAGACACCAGAGAGCTTGGGTGTCCTTCCTCCATGCCGCTTTCCTTTCACAAAGCCCCTGCACCACCCCCGCCTGGCCAGAGCCATCTCAGCTGCCAGAAAGGTGCTGTGTTGAGGCTGTTTCCTATATACGTGGATTCTGTAAGGAAGAAGTTGAAATTGGGAACCCCCCCACCAGGAGAAATGGAGATGGGAACTTTAAAATGCTTCCAGCCCAGAGTGTCCAGGATTTTGGGGGTGCAGTAGCCTCGGTATAGGTGCAGGAGTGCCTGGCAGTTTGGTTAGCTATGGCGTGTCCCAGAGGGGACCAGGCGCTGTAGATGCAGTGAGGACTTCTGTGCCCGCACACTCCACAGCCCTGGAGCCGGGCCAGGGAGCTGGGCCTGTGGGGCTCCAGGGGTGTGCCGGCACCCCAGTCAGCAGGCCTGAGGGGTTGGGGTATGCATTTGTTTTCATTTTCTCCTTTCCCTGTAATGTGTATTTTGCACTGGAGTCTGTTGATTCCTGTTATCATGTTTGTTTGTGGTGGAACAAGCAGTGGATTCCTTTATATTCACGCATCTGTTCTTTTTGGATTCACTTCCCTGTAGCTGCTGACGGTGTTGAGCACACTTCCTGATTCTGTCCGGCCCGTACTTGCTCATTGTTCTCGATGTGTCTGTGGGTCTCTCTGACCATGTGTCTGTGTCTCTGCATGGATTGTTGAGTTCCAGCTTCCTCAGTGATCTTCACACCCCGACCCCCACCCCCAGGGTCCATCTTGAATTTGATAAGCTTACATTTGCTGTGTAACTGGGAGTCAGACTGTGTTTGCTAATAAGTTTTAGTTGATTGTATTTTTCGATTCCACCTATAAACAATACCCTGTGCCATTTTTGTCTGTCTGTGTTATTTACTTGACACACCGTGATCATCTCTAGATCCTTCCATGTTGCTTCAAATGGCATTTTTTCCTTCTTTTCTATGGCTGAGTAATTGAGGCATATATGAAGCATAGCTTCAGTATTTACCCCTGTGTGCAAGGACGTTATGTCTGCTTT